GTGGGGAGGGCGGCGCGTCCTTCGACCTCCTCCTTCGCCGTCGCCTCCCCGCCCTACCGCAACCCCCCAATAGCCGCCTCCCCCACCAGGAGCGCAGGGAGGGAGGGAGTGCCTGGGACTCATGGGGGAGGCTTTCGTGGTTTTCAGAAGCAGCAGGGCGATTCGCAGCGGCCTCACGCGGGGCGTGCCTGTGCTCGCGGCCCCCGCCTTGTTCGAACCGTTGAGCCGGCCGGTGCGGTGAGGAGGCCGGGCCGGGCGCGCGTCTCTCGGGGGCAGCCCCAGCTGCTAATTGAAGCACCCTTTTCCACCCTCCTACTTGATTCAACAACGCCGCGGAAAACATTACAAACAAAAAAAAACACAAAAAACAACACCCCTACACACAGAAGGAAAACGAGAAAATTAAAACGGTGTTGGGCTATGGACATAGGGGCTCGTCTGGTCGGCTCCTCCCTTCCGGTTCCTTATTGTTCACTTCCGGGAGAGCCCACGCCGCCCACCGCCCGCATTAAAGCCCCCTCCCTTCTTAAACTTCATGGAATCGCGATTCAGCTTATCTTTGCATGGCGCTCCGCCCGGGTGAGATGGACCCTCCCCCCCCCTTTCCCTCTCTAGAGCGGGTACATAGTTGGTGCAGCAAGGTCGAGCCAGGTAGACGCAGCATCTCACCACCCCCACCCCTCCCCTCTTCTCCTTCGTGAACCTTGATTCATCCTCAGTACTTTTACTCTCTTCTAAATTCAGCCAGAAAAATTAGGCAAAAGTATAGCGCGTACAGAACACTTGTACATTAGTACGAGGGCGGGGGCAAGGCAGTGAGGGGCATAGGAGAGGCCTGGGGGTGAGAGGCATGGGGGCGGTGGGTGAGGGCTTGGGGGAGGTGTGTCGGGTGTGGGACTTGGGGGCCTGCCCGCACACCCCTCAGGTAAGAATATGACGATATGACCGTGCCTCCGCAAAATGAGAACCTGCCTGGATTTGGTCTTAGGCCCCAGAGCTCATCTGCTTGCGCACCGGGCGAGCCCCTCCCCCTCCCCACCACCGCACCGCCTCATCATCGTCTGACGTCCGGGCCAATAATAAAGAGCGTAAAGAGGGCAGTCTGCTCTTCGCTTTGTGTGTGGCCGAGAGCCTGGACGCTGGGGCCACCACAACGACCATAGCAGTCATGTTGGGTCTGAAGGAAGAACGGGGGCGCCCGTCTGAACAGTCTGAAGTAGACTGACTGGCAGTCTTCGAGGGGCTCATGGCACTCTATCACACTCGCACGGGGCTGCAGGGGTGGAAAGACCTGCCCATTTGTTCGCGCAGAGTCGGTGGTGTGCACGGTCCGGTCGATCCACCCCTCGCGCCCTTTCCTCTCCGCTCGACCGGGGAGAGAAAGACATAGGCGTGGGCGAGGCGGGTCCAAATCCTAGGTCCGCGGGCGGACGCACCTCCACGTCGCCTGATGGATGAGAGGTTGTTTTGTTTTCGCCCGAAAACGAAATCCTCTCATTTACAAACTTTTCACGAAAATTTCCCGATCCTCGGCGGCGACTGTTGCCCCCTGCCCCTCCCACCTCCCACCCCTGACGTCACGTTGCTGCGAGGGTGTGGGTGGCTTGCTGGTGGGGTGTGAGGCAGCTACTTTCTTTTATTTGTTTTTCATTCACCAGGAAACTCTTACCTTACCCCGCCGACTTTTTGTTCCTGCTGGCAGTAGAAATACGTGGAACGGGCATGGGATAAAAACAGACTGGGCACTCTGCTCTGAGGCTAGTTCGCTGGGGTAGTGGTTGAGGGAGAGGGCAGGAGGGGTCAGAGAGGGTTGGAGGTGGTCGGAGGGGTCGGAGGGGGTCGGAGCGGGTCGGAGCGGGTCGGAGGGGTCGGAGGGCGGAGGGGGTAAGGAGGGGGCCGCCCCACCCTGGCGCTGCCTGCGCTGAGTGACGTCCCCGTCAGGTCTGCCATTAACATACTGTGCTGCAGATCCCCCGAGGCTCAGGGGCGGGGGGAGGGGGAATGTTAAGGGATTACGCCAGGGAGTAGCCTGACTGTAATGGCCAATGGAGTAGAGCCAGGGTGTGGTAGGTCAGGCCTCCGCCCCGCTCCGGCCGGGGCGCCTGGTGGCGGCCGGGTAGGCAACCCAGCACTCCACCCGCGTTGGCCGGGACTGGCCAGCAAAAGGAGCTCAGACCACAACTCTGGTGTCAGCGGGTACTCCATTCAGCCGCCGCCGGTCCTCGCGCCCTCCCACAAGTGCCACCTACACTGTTAAGGTCTTACGAAGAAAAATGCCAAATCCTTTGTAATACGAAGGATTTGGACGCTTCGTAGGGAGCAAATCCTTCGTAGGTACGGAGCATTTGGCATTTTGCTTCGTAAGACTTTAACTGTGTGCGCGCCGCGCCTCCTCACCTGTCGATGCCATCCACGGTGTAGCCGGAGCCGAGGAACCCGCAGTAGCAGCCGTAGCCCTTGAAGGCCATGGGGTCGCAGCCGGTGGCGCACACGAGCATGTTGTACAGGTGGAGCACGGAGCGACGGCTGCGACTGCGCCCCGGTTTTTCAACACTGAAAAATAAAATACGACCATGAAATTATGACGGCAACAACTTTGAGGTCATTTCGAACCCCTTACTAAGCGGGAGTGTGGGGAAAACATTGAAAGTGTCCACACCATCCCTACCGCGTTGCCTGAAGTCAAGAGGGATACCCTAGATTGTCTGTTAATGAATAAAAGAAGACTTCTGTTCGCAATGTTCAATAGAGAGAGGGGTAGCTCAGATTGTTTACGTTCGATCAAAGTACAGCAGGAAAAAGCATTGGGGCATCTGAGTCCGCCCACGCGGTCCAACGGCGGGTAAACACATTGTGATCTGAGAGTGGCTCCGGGGGATAGGAAAGTGATGGGAAAGCGGGAAGAGAACGAGCAAGCGAGAGGGGGGGAGGGAGGGAGGGAGGGAGGGATGCTCTTGGACATTCCTGGCCCATGGCTCATGGATAGGAGACGACACTGCAGCGAAAGGCTGACCTACTCCCGACTCCCGCCTTTTCCTTCGAAACTTATCGTCCGACCAATAGAACGTCATCACGGGGCTCTAGACGGCCAGAGTCGCAGAATTGGAAGCCCCGACCCCGCTATGGGGCTATGGGCCGCAGCAGTTGTTATCCCACACCCCTTGACGTAAGAGGAACCCTCCCCACCCTGCCCCGCCGTGGGAGACACAGCTGTGAGATAAGGGTCCAATGCCTGCCATTTAAATTGACTCCTGTCTATCTGGGCGAGGGGTGGGGAGGGCGGCGCGTCCTTCGACCTCCTCCTTCGCCGTCGCCTCCCCGCCCTACCGCAACCCCCCAATAGCCGCCTCCCCCACCAGGAGCGCCTGACGATGGCCAGATAGGCAACCCAGCACCGCACCCGTGATCAACAGGATTGCCTACACTGTAAATCTGGGGTGTCCAGCAACTGTGCGCTTTCAGTTGCACGACCCAGGTTTCTGTGCAACTTAGAGCGCACAGTTGCTGGACACCCCAGATTGACAGCCTAAGCCTTAGGGGTTCCGCTGAAAAACATCCGGTTAACGACTCTGACTCATGATGATCCTCGTTTCGTAGAGGGAGTGCCTGGCGATGGCCGGGTAGGCACCCCAGCAAAGCACCCGTGTTCGACGGGACTGCCTTGCAGTGCCCAGCCTAGCGCAACAGCAGAATCTGTACTACTCACGCAGTCGTGGTGGTGGACGCGTTGAGGTGGTCCATGAGGACGTCCTTGAAGTTGGAGGACGGCCCCCAGGGGTTGTGGCTGTAGCCGAGGAGGTAGCCGTCGGCGACGTCCTGGGGGTCGGCCGCGGCCGCGGGGCCGAGCACGTCGCCGTGCAGCAGGGGGATGAGCTGGCGGCCGTGCTCGGTGCCGTTCAGCGACGCCACCAGGTCGCGGTAGGTGGAGGTGTATGGCACGGAGGGTTCTGCGGGGCCTCCAGGCATCCCTCCAGGGCCTCCAGGGCCTCCTCCAGGGCCTCCTCCAGGGCCTCCTCCAGGGCCTCCTCCAGGGCCCGGCGGTGGCTCACCCGGCAGCGCTCGGACCTGGTCCTTGGTCCAGTAGTTGTTCCGGGGGGAGTTTCCTGACAAGCAGATAAAAACTTTCACTGTAGTTGGTGTTTACATTCAGTGATGTTGCCTTCTAAAAGCTAACAACCACCACAACAAAGTTCATTTTTTCTAAATAATGTATCTATCATTTCTGAAGATGATTGTTTTTTCTTTCGGCCGCTATGCAGGAGCGGGGTGCGCCCCGTGGGCTCTGCATGACTTCTTCATTAAAGCCCTTATCACGCAGGGAACAACGCCACCGGCCACGCCAATATGCGACACTATTAACAATAATCTTATCGAGTGACACGCACGCCACCAGCGCGCCCACGGGGGGCCTGTTGATGCCTGCCAATGAATGCAACCATCCTGCGCCACCAACCAGGCACCCCGCTGCGACCGCGTGCTCGCAACTACTACGGTTTCCTCTATATACTACGGACATTCCTTCGATATGTAAACTAAATCGAGTTGAATGACAAAAACGGGAGTGATAGATACAGGGTGGTCCTGGACCATAGGCCTCTTACTTTATTTTGCTTATACTGTACCGCATGTGCAGGCGTGCGGGCGCGCTTGCCTATACCGTCGCTTCCTTACGGCCCCGTGTGAGTATGCAACCCGTGCGCTCGCGTGCATGCGGTACAGTATAGGCAAAATAGAGGAAGGGGTCTATGAACCACCCTGTGTGGTAGCCAAGGCCCAATATGGTGTTTTGGTCCACCTGGCCACTTTCAAATCAAATATGGCACGGAAACCGGAAACGATACAAGAGATTGACTAGTCAATCTCGAGTTAAGCTCAAGTTTGATGTGATTGCAATAATGCCCCCCCCACACACACGCAAATTGTTTTTGCGTCCCATCCCGCTATAGACGCCAATAGGCTGGGACGCTCTTCCAAGCTGACAGAGAGAGAGAGGGGAGAGGGGGAGTGAGGGGGGAGGGAAGGGAATGGAAAAACAGTTCCGGTGATCGGTTGGCCTGCGAGTGCCTGCCGCTGCGAGCCGCTCAAACGCAACAAGCCGCTCCCACGCGAACGAACCGCGGAGCGATCGACCTATTGAAACGGAGGGAATCCAGTGGCAAGCAATTCGCTGGAAGACAGAGAGAGGGGAGATGAAGAAAGCAAACATTGCCTGTTAAATTCAGCGGGATGGGTCTCTTTTCGGGCTTTACTACTGTACCTTTTGCCCGTGCCCCGAGACGTGCCCTTTAGAACACCCATCCTGCCTGAACGATAACTTCAAACTGTGGCATAGAATTTTGTTTAATTGATGTCGTAAGTAGGCGCGCGGTATCGTGGTAGAAAGTCGCAGATTACGAATGCATGCCGCGGCGTGGCGGGGCGGGGAGGGGAGGGGAGGGGTGAGGTCGGGTCGGGGTTATGACTACTTCGCAGACTCGCCCAGCACACGTCCGTCAGGCCTCCAGGACGCATAGCTGGACCAGACACAATCAGCCATTGTTGCTGGGCCCGCCCCGGCCCGTCACGGCCGGCGAGCAGGGCGAGAGCCTCGGGCGGGGGGCCTGGAGGAAGAAGAAGATGTGTCTGCGGGGGAAGAGGAAGGCGAGCGCCGAGTGGGAGGAT